CAGCCAGCTGAGTTAGAGCCGAGGTGTCCCGGCCGCCTTCCCTTTTTTTTTTTTTCTTTTTCCACGTCTTTTATTTGGCAAGTTGGCGCATAGCCACCAGACAAAGCGGCAGACGCCGACGTTTGGCGGCAATGAAGCCATAGCCATGAAATGGAAATGCATTCAAGTGTGTTTAAGCCGGTGCAGCCTCCAGCCTCCCTTTACTCTCTCTCTCTCTCTATGTCTATTTCTTTTGGGCCAACTCCCACTTCTTTCTGGCCACGGCCAAATACGTATGCGACTACAGATAAGACGTGCTCGATAAAGTCCACAGAAAAAATGAACTCATTTTACGCCTGCATCTTTGTGACTGTCTGGCTCCCCTTACCTCCATCTCTGATTTTGGACACTGCAAGAAATAAATATATGTGAGTGAATAGTAGAAATATGGCTATAAATAAGGCGTGATTCTGATCTCTGATTGGGTATAGATTTATTTGGGTAATTAATTAAAGGAAACCTTAAATAATTAATTTATAATGAGGTAGGAAGTTAATAGTTATTACTATAAAGTATGATATTAAGTAATACCCATTGAAATAGATCTCTTTTCTTCTTGATATTGAAAAGAATTCTTTAATTTTAATAGTATACATATTAAAATACATCCAAATCCCACTTTTAATGCAAGCCTTGTTTTCCTTTAACTGAAATCAAATAGTCACATCAATCTCTTGGACAACTTTAGCAATATATAATCATTATCAACAAATAATAGCTAATGTGAGTTACTTCCCAGTGATTGATTTGTTGTGTAAAAAATATTATCTGGACTTTCTGCCAGTGTGGTTGTGTGTAGCCAGTTGACGTTAACAAGCACAAGCGTACGATGGAATTGAAAAAAACTGTAGGAAGGAGTTTATCAAGTCAATTGAGACCTGCGACAAAAGACCAAGCACGGGGCAACATCGACAGCAGCAGCAGCAGCAGCAGCAGCAGCATCAGCAGCAGCAGCAGCATCAGCAGCAGCAGCAGCAACATCATCAACCAGGAAAGCGACTGCTTTTGGTTGCAATGTCTGAATCATCAGCGTTTGGCAGCATTGTCGTGTGCATGTCGTCGGTATCTTTATCAGAAGGCCCGCAGTAGTTGCTTCTCCTAGCTTCCCCAACGACAATGGCATTATATGAACGGCGGGGTGTGTACAAGACCAGCTCAGTTTTAGATTGGCGGACAAAGGCGAGAGACAGTAATATCGAAGAAGAATCTAATTTGCATGCAATACGATTTTTGATAAAAGCTTTTTACCCCGACAGCGAATAAAACGCCAATGCAACAGCACACTTTGGCATCTGCAGATGTGTCCTGTGTCCCGTGTCCTCCCGCTCACTCGACTATTCATAAGAATAACAGCCAGGGAGAGTTGGATAAGAAAAGCCAGCGACAGATATGGATTGGGTTTGGGTGGTAGGTAGGTAAGTATTCTTCAGATTTTGGGGTTTGGGGTTCCTTCCTTCCAAGGAACCCGAAGGCAATCAAAAAGTGCATTTGCGTGTGCCGTTTGCTGTCGCCTCGAGCTCGAACCGAATACGAATACGAATCCGCATCCACATCCACATCCACATCCACATCCACATCCACATCCGAATCCGAGTCCCAATCCCAAGCCAAGGCTCGTCTCCGGGTCGCAGGTAACTAGTTGCGACTCCCGGAGAGTGCCATGAACTGCAAGTCACAATTTGACACATGATCCATGGCATTGTCGTGTCTGACACGCGTTTTATCTCCGCTCTGGGAATCTGTGGAGCCGTGAAGCTGCAGCAAGAGTTGAGGAGCTGAGCAGTTGCCGCGGGGGCGGAAAATGGGGGCGTGGGCGTTGGCGTGCACATGATGTGCATGCATGCGTTTTTCCTAAATGATTTCCAAAGAATTTTTATTGGGGAAAAAAAGGGCGAAAGCGAAAACACAGGCACTAAGAGAAAATGTTAAATGCTAAGAAAATGTTGAAGATTTTAAAGATACAAAAACTTTACTTGTTTTTGAAAGATTTTAAATATATAAAATCATTTACTTACTCAAATGTTGAATGCAGTCTAAAGTTCATTGCTTTCTTGATCATATTTTTTATGTATTCATATTATAATATTAAACTGTATTGAAGGGTTTCAATGTTGCATTAATATCTTAAAAATTAATCAGTAAACAGTATGTTTTTTTTATGGTTTCTAGATACAAATGAGTTTTTCCAATCTCTTATTAGATTATGACACTAGAAGAACCCATACCTACCTGTTGATATTATTTATGTATTTATATTATAATATTAAACTCAATTAAAAGGTTTCAATGTTCTATTATAATCTTATAAATCAATCATGAAACAGTATATCTTTCTTATAAATAGGTTCCAAAATCAAATGAGTTTTTCCAATCCTTTATTAGATTCTGAAACTAGAAGAACTCAACCTTTCTGTAAACAATTAAATCTTTTCAAGAGACTTTATACTGATTAAAATCTCTGAAAGAGACTGATTAATTTGTATTATTATAAAGACATATGTATACATATTTTTCCCTCTGTGCATCTAGATGCATGCAACGACAAAGACAGGAATCGATGGAAAGGGGGGAGCGTAGGAAACTTTATTGGCGTCTTCAAATTGTCAACTCAAAGTTCCAAAGTGTTTTATTTTATGCTTTGTTTCTCATATTTTCCGATGCCTTTTGTTGCCCCAGCCTGGGCAGTTGGGCCAGAGCGTTTGTTTTATCGCACATCTGTAAAAGGGCTCTCGGTTTCAGTTCCAGATTCGGATACGGCATACACTTGCATATATGTATATATATATATATGGATGGGGTTTATATCGGCGGGGGTGAGTGGTGTGTGCCCAATGGTTATAGGGCCATTGGAGCTAACATATAGCTGCTAGCTGTAGATGGAGTTCAAGTTGAAGTCTATGACGAGGGCTTTTTATTATGCGCATTTCGGTTTTTATGCCTCGGTTCCGGCATTTTTTCGTACACATATCTAAATATCGTACTTAAACGCTTACACATGTGAGAACGATGGCGACGGCAAATTGAAATGGGAAACGGCTTTGGCATTTAGTAAGCGGAGTCCGGGAGTGTCAATATTTTCTTTTGGGAAAGGGTTTTTTAATGATGTGGCTGACTTTATGACCCATCAAATGGCTCTGTCAACACTCTGTTGTGCCCTCTTCGATAATGTTTCGATGTCCATTAAATCAATCATTATTTGTTTTACTCTGGAAAAGGATGTGTGGGTTAATATCTATATAAAAGAAAATATGCATTGTCTTTTGTTAAGCTGATGATGTAAAGTTAGTTAGCTAAGGTTGGGTTTGAAAAGTCAAACTAGTTTTAGATTTATTAGGTTTTATTGAAGTTGTTATAAGTCTCAGCAGACTTTATGGAGATGAAGTTTTTTCGATTGAAATTATTAGCAGAAACTAGTGAATGGCACAAACTTCTTTACCAGAAAGTCTTCAGAGATTTCAGTGAAAATATACAGTGACTTTGGTCTCCACTAAAATTAGCCATAAAAACCTTGACAAAATTCCATAAAACCAATTGGACTTGTGCTGCCTCTGCTTCTTGTTTAAAAGGAGAACAATATACAAACAAAAAAAAAGGACAAGAGCATCGGGAATATTTAAAATGCAAATGAAATAAAAACTTTTCTTTATGGCGGCAATTATAATTCGATAAAACCGCAATCTCCTTGGAACGCACGCGATGGGGGAGCAGGAAGGATGCGGCAGCAAATTGGCATGACATTCGGAGGCAGCCAAAAGCCGAAAGCCGAAAACTTTAACCTGGCCAAATGATACTTTCGATGCGAGTTGCGTGCACCGCCTGCGATTGTGTTGGCCAAGTGGATGCTGTGGATATCAGCTACAAAAAAACACAAAAAAAAAACTGCCGCCAAGTTCATAACGAGCAATACTTTTTTATTGGCTTTTTGCCGGGGCCAAGTTGCCCCCTAAGGCAACTAAAACAAAAATTTACATTTTTATTAAAATCTCCTCGTTTTTGGCTGGCGAAACACTATGCCAGGCACACACGAACGCACATGTGAGTGTCTGAAATTGAATTCGACTGTGATTTTGGCAGCCGAGAGGGCAGAACAGGGCCAGAGAGCATGGCAGGGCAATCTAAGCCCGGCCAAGACAGCAAGTGAAGGCATAAATTGGTATTTATTGAACAATGGGCGAGGGCGCCCCAAGGATACCTAATTAAGGAGGCCGGGGCGAAAGGCCCTCAGGTAAGCGGCTTATAGAAACCAGGCCAGCACCCCATGAATCACGCCCGAATATGGCTATTTGACAGCTAAATATTGGTAAGGTGACTCTGGGGTTTTCCACCTGCTGGCGAAATTCATATCCAACTTTGCAATATATCTACACGAATATGTATAATAAATTTCCATTTGCATTTGCTGCCTAACGCTAACGTTAACGTTAACATTTAACCCCATGCCTCCCATCCGGCGAAGGCACGCGGCATAAGTATAAGTTCAAACTGGTACGCGCCGCCTCCGAACATGTGTTTATGGATGCTGCGCTGCGGATGCCCCGCTTTTGTTTACATATTATGTATGTACATATTTTTTTGGCCTCTTGTTTTGCACGCCGTCGATAAGAGTGGCGCAGTCCCCTCAACCTCCCCCACCCATCCATTTATTCCGCTCGCTTATCAAAAGTTGCCCAAGCCCAAGCTGTTTACTTGAGCAACAATCTGGTGCCTCGGTCTCCCGTTCCCGGCTCCACGACTCCAAGACTCAGTCTGGCATCCTCCACACTCCATCTCGGAGTGAGTTTTCAGCGCTTAAATCTCTTAAGACTTTAACGCGACTTTAATATATACATAGCCGTGCATCATCATCCCCCGCTCTCAAAAAAAAACTCGTTCGTTTCTCTCGCTTTCCTTCTCATTTCGAACCGCTTTCCCGGGGAAAAGTCTGTGGCGTAACAACTGTTTCCGAAAATTGTAAATTCACAATGCGGCGCACATCCCGATTGATTCCATTCGGTTTCGTCATCCTGATGCTCCTGCTGTCGAAATTCGGCCACACAAGTAAGCCCCGATATCGCTGGCACGCCCATTGATTATGTATATATGTACATATATGTATATATCCACACACAGGGAAAAACATAACAAAGTCCTTGTTGTAGTTATTATCACTAAGCTTCGGCTTTTCACTAGAACTAGAATTAATGAAAGGAAAATAATAGAATAGCAAGAGGGTTCACAGAACTATATCAATCATTATTTTGTTAGAGAGAAACACAACGTATTATTTAATTATTTTAATTGAAGGTGATATTTATTTCTTCTTAAAAGTCTCTGAAAGAGTGTAAAATACCAAATTAATACTTGTTTTTTTCTGGTTATAATCTTTGACTATTTATACAATCTAATTTGATACTAATACCCTTGCAGGGCCATATTATATTAGTCAGCAGCTTAAAAATCAGTGAGTCATTTCCGACCCTATAAATCATATATATTCTTGATCAGCATCAACAGGAGAATCTATCAAGCTATGCCAGAGAGAAAAAAAATTTTGAAAATTTTTCAAAATTTTCTAAGGGGTTACATCATTAAAATTGACAAAAATTAAACGAAAATTTCAAATTTCTTAAATTTGTTTAAAGAGTATGCAGATTCATTGACCTAATAAAAACTAACATACTACAGCTAACCGAATTGAAAATTATGAATTTTTGACTTCTTTATGCCATTTTTAAACATTACTTTTTTCGGTAAAATTGTCAAATAAAATATTGAAAATATTCATTTAAAGAACGCGAATGTTTTAAGCTTAGTTATAATCGATTTTCGATTAAATCCTATAATTATATAACAAACTGCAAGGGTGTATAAGCTTTGGTGTGAAAAAATTTGCTTCCTTTCTCATTTACATTTAATTTCAGGCATTCATAATCAGAAAAATTACGTATACGCATAAGTGTAATTTTCCTTGCAGGGAATTATACTTTCAGTCAGAAGCATAAAACCTAGTGAAGGAGTCATTTCCGACCCTATAAATCATATATATTCTTGATCAGCATCGACAGGAGAATATATCTAGCTATGCCAGAAGAAACAATTTTTTGTTTAATTTTTTCATAATTTTTTAAGGGGTTACATCGTTAAAAATGTCAAAAAAAAGTGACAAAAATTTTAATTTCCTTAAATTTTATATGGAGTATGCTGATTTTTTAAGCAAATAAAAACTAACATATGAAAGCTTTACGAATTAAAATTAATGCAGTTTTGGCTTAATTATAATCTATTTAGGATTTCAATTTGTAGTGGAATTCAAGCTTTGGTTACTCAGAAGTTAACTTCCTTTCTTGTCTTTAAATATATTATTGAAATTGTAATCAAGATCTTTAACTTACTTAAACTGAAAAACAATTTATCTATGAGGTTTCTGAATAATTGTTTCTGAAATATTTTTTTTTAATTTAAATATTGAATAGGCATTTAAAGAGAAGAGAGAATGAAACAAATTCTAGTTTTTTCCGGTCTCTTCTTTATTCGAAAATGATAATATTACTTATACCAGAATTAAAGTGGTTATTTCTGAATAAATCTAGTTAATAATTCCAGTTATTGAGCTATAGTAAAACTAATGTCTTACTGATAATATTATGAGTCTGTTTAAGTAGTATTTAGTCTAAAGATAATAGTTAGAAATCTTCCAAGTCATTAAATATGCAATTTGGTTCCCCAATCTTAGATTTTCCACCTTCAAAATAATTTCCCAATTTTTCATTTTGGCAATATTTTCTCCATGTGCCGTCTGAAGTGGAAACCAGCTGCCAGACGCCGGAGAAGACAGACGGCCGATGCGTGCACTTCAGCGCCTGCCGGCTCGTCCTGCGGCACTATGCGATGTACAAGGAGCACATGCCGCCGGCGATAATGCGATTCCTGCAAAGAGCCCGTTGCAGGCCCAAGAGCCAGGGTGTAAGTTGGGCCTGGCCAATAAAAGTGTCTGGCTGGAACAATAACCTTCGAATGGCCCTGATTCTAATGAAAATTTTTCTCTCTCTCTCTCTTTTTAACGCGGAATTTGGAATGCGGTGAATGCGACTGCGTATTTCTCCCCCTGGCAACGAACAACGAACAACATCAACATCAACATCACCATTCACGTTGCCATCAACAAAGTATTATTTGTGCTGCGAACTCAAAGATGTGATTCCTGCGAACGCCAACTCAAAGTTGAAGTAAATCAACTTCAAAGTACGTCATGTGTGCTGTGTGTGTGTGGGCTTTGATCTGTGGAATCAGTTGGTAGCTTTGTTTGGGCCATAACCAAAATGTTATGGCCGGGCCACATCGCATCGCCTGTAATTATAATGTGTACACGAATTACTCGCATGTATTATGTATTAAGTGCGCCACCTTCTCGTCGGGCAACAACAGCTGCTGGAACATAATAAAAATAAAAAGTTTTAGCTCTAATCTTTGGCGCCTCCCAGCGAGTGTGTGTTTTGATTAACGCTCAAGATTTCCCTGGGAATTCCAGATGAATTCCTTTGGGACAGCCTTCACTGGCCTTGTAAAAATCAATGCAGAATATTTACTCATTCGGAGTGAAAACATTTTTAATAAGCTTGAACATTTTAATTTTAATTCAGCTTCAGGGCTATTCATCAAACTTTTGTGAGCTTGAATTTCAAGTTTGAGCTTGAGCAGTTTTTAAATGTAAATGAAAGATTTCGTTTCTTTACAAAATAAGTTAAGTAAATATAGGAAAAGTATTTATGTTATTTTCTGTGTTTAACTCAAAGAAAGGGTTTGAGTCCAAAGCAAAGCCCTGTTCTTATAAGTGCTCAATACACTCTGCCCAGGTCATTCTTTATTTATTTAACTTACCTTATTTTTGTATAAATATTTTTTGTGGCACCCAATATTCCTTTTCAAGCGGTTCAAACATCAAACATTGCTATGTTGTCAAAGGGCTTCTTGTAGACACCGAAATACTCTTCATTTCGCCTGCACTTTTCTTACCTTATTCATTTTAATATATGTATATATATATATATTTATGTATTTACCTGAGAAGAGAGTTGAATTTTATGTTTCGGCAGACGGCAGGAACCTTTTGTTTGCTCAATGTTTAAATTTTGCGCAAACATTTCGCCTCTGTTTTCCGACAAGGGTTTCCATTACACAAAGGCAGAGCAGCCCTGTGAGTTCATTCCCTGTTATTTAATTTTGATTTATGCTCGTATCTGGTGTTGAGGCAGCGCCAGTCTCCTTTTTCCCTGCCTTTCCACCCGTTTTGTGTGCTTTAATGTGCCAGATTTTAAGTGACATTCGGGCGACGCTAAAAGGCCGTCTAAAAATCACGCAACATTAAGATGATTTATGCGGAATAATTTCAGTGTAAATGAGCCAGACTCCCGGTCCGGTTAGTGGTTGCCCGGTCAAGGAGCTGCAAGTCAGTGATGCTGGAAATGGTAAAGAGAACAGGTAGAAGGTACAGAAACAATATAATAAGAAATAAAAGGTTTCAAAATAATATATTACTTTAATTAAAGAAATATTTGCAATGCAAACAAGTGGTTAAATATATTTTTAATGATATACTTCTTGAATATTTTCTATACTTTAAGTGTAAAGAGAACCACTTGGGCAACACTGCTGCTTTGGAGACTGAAACTGGATTTTGGCTTGTACTGGAGTGGGTCTTTATAGAAGTGGGTCTGGAACTTTAGCTGGGGCGTTGAAAAGCAGACACCTTGTGAGCGGACGTGATACGCACGCCCAAGGCGTCTGCTCTCACATACATACAATACATAGTATCATCGTTCATCGTTCATCACCCAACATCACCCGTCGCCCCCATTGGCTATTTATGGAAAGTTTACCCCCAGAGATAAAGTCAGAAAAACGGCAATTTTCCTGATTATTTTTGTCGCTTTTAAACTAAAAATTTTTCTAGCTGTCAGAAATTAAATGGGAAGCAGCTTCTAAAGCTGCCCGGCTAATGCAGCTGCACTCTTGTGCCGGCTTTGGTCTTTGGGCTTGGCTATCTGTTTGCCGACGTTGTCCGTTGCTCGTTGCTTGTGTTGTTGCTGCGGTGCAACAAATGTTGTTAACAAGCATATTTTGACAGCTCAACAAGATGTTGCCAGATGCGCGAACAGCATCAGCTACAGCACCAGCAGCAGCAGCAGCAGCAGCAGCAACAGCAACTATAGCTGCAACAGCAAACGGCGGCAATGAGGCCATCTGCATATGTTGCCGGCGTTTTAGTTGCTATAAAAGGCGAAACAAAAGTAAGACAAACCATGGACTATATGGGTTTCTATATGGGGGTGACTATGGGAAAGTTGTGGCTTTCCATGTGCCTTCCGTTGGCAATTGAAGTTAGTGAGGCGCAGAGTCCATTGCCTGCATATGTGATGCCGATGTTGCTGCTGTCGTTAGTGTTGCAGTTGCTGCTGCTGCTGCTGTGGACTACTCCACAGCATAAAATGTGGAGCATATTGTTGTTGCTGCCTCTCCTGCTGCTGCTGCTTCTGCTGGGCCATAAAGAGTTGAGGCTTGTTTTTAAAAACTATTTTGTGTGCCATTTAATAAACATTGCAATGCATTTAATGAAATTCAAAAGACAGAGATAGAGAAAGTAATAGAAAAAGACAAGAGCACAGGCATTGCGGCAACCAGTGCAGCCGAGAAAATGTTTGGAAAATCAAATAAAAGACATTTGTTCAAAAAAATATGGTTATAATATGCTATACATTTCAGGAAAATCAATTAGATTAATTTAAAAATGAATATAACTATAATACATAAGGTTTTTTTAAAGGAATTTATTAGATTTTAACGAATAGTTCTTAGGGAATTATAAGAACAATATCAAATAACTATTTGTTATATAATTTTTTTTTATGAAAACGAAAATGTATTTCAAAATTTATTATATGCCAACGAGAATCTATTTCAAAATGTTGTATTTTTTGGAAAACTCAACTATTTCCCTTTATAGAAACCATTTAAGAGTGAACCAATCTGTCTGTAAAGTGGATAAAAGCCTGCAATGGTTTCCTCTCTGTTGGCAGCTCCTGGCCACATCTATTTGCTAATTGCATTTCGTCGTTGTTGCTTCGGTGTTTGTTGTTCTGCGGCCGTATACCTTTCACGCGCACTGTTCCGGGTTAACCCCCCCCCCATTCTTTTCAGCCACCCAGGCAGCCCCCTCCCCTCCTTTCCATGCTGTCACCTTGGTTAAATATCGCTTTGTTGCAACTGTCGCAACTGACACATCCGAATGTCTTGTCCTTGTGCTCAGTATTCAGTACTCAGTACTCAGTACTCAGTACTCAGTCCTCATGTAACCATTTCCCCATGTCCTCCGTGCTCAGTGCTCTGTGCTGAGACCCCGGCACTCATCGCACCGCATCGCATCGCATTGCATCGCCTGGCATCACATCACATCACCTGGATACATGGATGTGTTGTCGGAGTTGCAGTCACTTCACTTCGCGGCTTGTCTATCACCTGGCCAAGGAAAATGCAATTAACGAGCGCCATCAAAATGGCAAAATGGCAAAAGCGAAATGCACAAGCCTGCGAAATGAAAGGCGGGCAAACAAATGGCTGGCAGAGTGGCAAATTGCTTTACATATTTGCACGCCAAATGAGAGCGGTTGAAATAAAAAAAAAAACTGCCATCTAATGGTTGGAATTCAAGTTCAATGGTTCCTCTTCATCTTCGTCTAAAAAATAGCAATATTTGCACATGTTACGGTACTTAACAGATGGCAAAGACTATCACAAAACTTTTCCTTTGGTGAAAGTTAGTACATTTTGACATCATTTCTAATTTCAAGGGATTTCATTGTCCCTTTTTGATTTCCGGTTGGAATGATCAATTATTCCTGCCTGCCCAGAGACTCTCCAATTATTGCACCAATATTCCTTGCCTCTTGTGCATTTAGATACTTGAATTGGCTTGCAAGCCATTCCATTTCCATTAGGGCCACTCTTTTTGGCCAAGTTTCGTTGCTAATTTGTTGAATGGTAAATGCGTAGAATGCCAAAATGGAATCGATTCGGCTTGACTGCAAATTGCTTGAAAAATGCAGCTTAATGAACCTTGGGTTGACATGCAGAAAATGCTATTAGAAACGAGAACAAAAAGCGTTTGCCCAACATTTTCTGCCAATCACGAAGGGCAGCAAAAAAACTCCGATGGAAAAGAAAAGCCAAAGCAAAGCCAAATTGCAAGCAACCACAAATTCAATAAATTTGAAAAGCAATTAATAACTGATTGACAAGTATTTATCTACGAGGAAATGGCTGGACCAGACCGGACAGCGAGGGAAGTGAACAAAAAACCGGATGCGGAAGTTGCAGCGGCAAAAGGATGCAAAGAGCGGCATGGCATGGCTCTGCTGTCCGGGGGGAAAATAAAACCGAAAAACGAAACCGAAACCGGGCAAATAAGCGTAATACGTTGGCCAAACACCGAAACAGAAGCTGCAAATCGGTGAGGAGAGGCGAGGCGAGGAAAATGCTGCCGGGAAATGAACCCGTGGGAGCTGGCGGAAATTCAAAACCCAAAGTCAAATGGAACACAGCAATATAACGCAACGAATTGACGGAGATGAGATAAAAGAACAATCAACAATACGCCAGCAACAACAGCAGGAACAACATCGGCAACATTGGCCAGAGTGGCACTAGTAGCGGGGAGATGTAGCATAAAATGTAGCGAAAACTTTGGAAAAATCATTAATAATGCTGGGGCCAGCGCAATGGCATTGGTTTTCCAAAAGGACAAGCGCAAGGACATGCAGCAAAAGCGGAGCTCCAGCTCTCAGCTCACAGCTCTCCGTCAATCAAAGCGCAAACAGAAACAAAATGAATGGCAAACAGCGGCGACTCGGACGTTCTAACGTTGGCCAAGTGGCGATAGTGCACTCTGAGAAAATTTGGTGTGTTACTTTAGAGTAAATATCTATAAATAACAATAGATAAATACTTTTGGGCTTCACTAAAAACAGAAAGAACTCCTAAACTTAAACATGTATTTTTGCCTTAGGAAAGATATGCTAGGAGAATATATACATATGTAGATCATATATTCCTAAGACCTTAAAACTCGATTCCAATCAAGATTGTTTTTATATATTAAATACAAAATTAGCAAACGAAACAAAATCTTTAATATATCTATGTATCTATCAATAACAACCTCTTCGATTTCTTAAGTA